ATGGTGACAATTGAGAAGCCTTCCATTTAAAATCAATTACAAAGAGGCTGTGCACTCTCCCAGTTACTCATCATTGTGCTAGAGATCCTAGCCAATGCAATAAGGTAAGAAAACAAGACAGAACATGTAAGACCAGAAAGGAAGTCACAAAGTTATCATTATTGCAGGCAATATGATTAGCTATGTACATAGAAATTCCAAAAGAAGCAACAAAAAGGTATTAGACATAGTAGCAAAATTTAACAAAATATGCAAAACATTATTTATATTTATAAACACCAGCAACAAATAGATGCTCTGTGATTTTAAAATATACCGTTTACCACAGGGACATAAAATGATTAAGTTCTAAGAGTCATATGACTTTATGGAAAAAGCATAAAACTTTATTAAAAGATAATAAAGAATATCTATAGCCATGCCTCAGTGACTCATGTCTGTAATCCCAGCACTTTTGGAGGCTGAAACTGGAGGATCCCTTGAGCTCAGAAGTCTGAGACCAGCCTGGGCAACATAGTGGGACCTGGTCTCTAAAAACTTTTAAAAATACAAAAAAATTATCTGGACACGTGGTGCATACCTGTGATCCCAGCTACTTAGGAGACTGATGTGGGAGGATCTCTTAAGCTTGGGAGATGAAGGTTGCAGTGAGCTATAATCACACCACTGCATGCCAGCCTGGGCAACAGCAAGATGCTGTATCAGAAAAGAAAAAATATCTATATAAATGGAGAGATATTCACTGTCCACAGAAGAAAAAGGAGGATAAGGAGGGGAAGGGAGAGGTAGGGGAGTGGGGATGTGGGACAGGGGAGAAGAGGAGAAGGAGAAGCAGAAGATGGAGAAGGAAGATGTGGCAGTAACAGGATTTGCTCTACCAGTTAATACGAAGCTATACGAATCAACATAGAAGTTTATTGAGTTCTATATATATCTATATATCAGGGATAGATAGAAAGACCAATAACATGAATTAGAGAGCTCAGAAGCAGACCCACATCTATCTAAAACTTAACGGGTTACAGAGGAGTGTTGCAAATTTATAAGGGAAAAAAAGGAGCATTATTCAATGGACAGTACTGATTTCCTACCTTTCACCTTGCAAAAAAGTGAATTCCAGGTGGAAAGTGCTGCATTTTACAGTTTCTGAAAGAAAATATCTGAGAATGTCATTGAGATTTCTATGTACAGGTGGGCTTCTTAAGATACAAAACAGAGAATCAATAAAGAAAATTTTAATACATCTGATTAAACTAAAATTTAAAACCTCTATTTTGCCCATAACTATAGAAAATAAAAGGACGATCCACAAAAGGAGAAAAATGCTTGCAAAATATACAATGAGCAAATCAATTAGTATGCAAAGTATTTGAAGAACTCCTACATATCAATAAGAAAAAAAAATTCAATACAAGTCTTGGCAAAAGCATTCCCCAAAAGAGGAAACACAGATGGCTAATAAAACATGTGAACAATATTCAGCATCATAGTAATGAGACAAATGCAAAATTAAAACAATGAGAAACCATTTTCCACCCACCAGATTGGGGAAAAAATTTAATAAGTGAACCTCACTAGTCATCAGGAAAATAGAAATTAAAACAATAATGTGATAGCATTTACATTCCCCTCAGCCAGTCAAAAATTGTCTATCTAACAATGGAAGATCTGGCTTCAAGTCCCTATGGAATAGCTTGCCTACATGTCCCAGAGATAATGATTATAAAAGCTGGATAAAATATTAAAAGTGACTATTTGAAGGCATGGATGAGTAACCCAATGCAGGCAGAAACCAGCAGTTGACTCCTGAACAATGGTGTTGTGTGAGGTGAGATGTGCACCCTGCAGCTCTTCGCCCAAGAGGGCTCCTCAATCTATGAGTCATTGTTCAGCAGACACTGAAGTTCTCCTGGCTTGAGGTAGCACAGACAGTTCAGGGCTGAGAAAAATGGATGGAAAGTTAGATGAAGAATCCCGAAAAGGAGGGAGCCACAGAGTGGGTGCAGCCCCAAATCTGTGTATTAAATCTACTTAAATCTTCAGTCCACTGAAGTGCACATACAGGGGAAAGGCTAGGTGGGCTGAAAGAGCAGGCACTGGAAGCTGCAAAAGCTAAATGAAGACTTCAGCAGTGTCTACCAAAAAGCAATAGAATTTGGAGTTTAAACCCAGTCAATTTCACTGCTACTAAAACAAAACTCGGCCCTCTTCAGAGGAATATAGCTGAATTCAGAGTCTCCACAAAGTGTCCATCATGCCTGGTGTGCAGGAAGAAACTACTATTCACGCAGAGACAGGAAAATAAAATGTGAGCTACAGTCAGGAGAAAAAGAAATCTCTCAAAACTGACTTCAGGAAAATGTGCCTAATGACTGAACTGATGTGGAATCTTCATAGATAAATGGAAATAATATAAAGGAACCAGGCTGGGCGTGGTTCCTTATAAAAAGGAGTGCTAGCACTTTGGGAGGCTGAGGAGGGAGGATCACTTGGGCCCGGGAGTTCAAGACCACCCTGAGTGACAAAGTGAGACTCCAACTCTACAAAAAATCCAAAAGTTAGCTGGGTACGGTGGTGCATGCCTGTAGTCCCAACTACACAGGAGGCTGAGCCTGAGGTCAAGGTTACAGTGAGCCGTGTTTACACTACTGCACTCCAGCCTGGGTGATGGAGCAAGACCCTGTCTAATAAAAAAAAAAAAAAAAAGCGTATGGCAAATCTAGAGTTGAAAAGTGCAATAATTGAAATGAAAATATTAGAGACAGCAGAACAGTCAGTGAACTCGAATACAGAATAGAGATTACTCCATACGAAGAACAGAAGAAAAATGAACAAGGTTGGGCGGCCTGCGGACAATATCAAAAAAATCTCGTATATGTAACTGGAATCTCGGAAAGAGAGGAGAGACCACCCTTTCACGTGGGAAAGTAAATAACAGCCCCCCCATCACCCCCAGGCCCGAAGGGTTCTCTCCTGGCTGCAGCTCCCTCGGATCCATGCACTTCTGCAAAAATCAGGGGCAGTGTTGTGTTCAAGGGTCAGTAGCTGACAGGAAAGGCTCAAAGTGTCTTTTACTTTGGCCACCAGAACTAGACAGAGTGACCTTGTGGCTGCTTGCCTGGCTAGGCTCAGGGCGCCAGACACTTTCTGCACTGGACTCTGCGCTTACCACAAAGGCAGCAGGGCAGGGACCGCAGGGGCTTTGCTTCTGCACCCTGTGTGGTATGTTGCCCTCTCCAGAGTCCTGTTATGCAACGGATTGTTGCTATTGTTACTATTGAATGGGGTTATAAGGAAAAGCTGTTTGAAAATTCTGAAGGAGTCAGTGCAAAAAGCACTGAAGCAGAAGCTCAGAGGTCTGGGATGAACCCTGAGGACGTCCCTCCCCTGCAGCACCTTCATAACCTGTAAAAATAAGGTGGGGCCACGACCTGAAGCCCGCCTGGCGCGGAGTGTTCCCCGCCTCTCTCAGTGGCCTGTGCACCCTGCCTGGGGCCCTTTTTGGGATGGGGCGGCTACACTTCCCTACCAGTTAGAAAGCCGCATTCTCATTTGCTCAGACACGAAATGTAACATGGGGCAGGGGCGGGGGGCGGGTGTGGGGGGAGGGTACCCCCCCTGACCTCACTGACTCACATGATGCACCAGGCCCTTGCAGGCACTGGATGTAGGTAGATCCGTTTAATCCTCACACCCTGCGAGCATGGATCGTTATAACCCATTATAGTGCAGACTAGGGAACAGACGCAGGAGACTCCATAAATGCCCAGGTCCATCCTCAGTAAGCGAAAGGGCATGCATTTCCGGTCCTAGACCTAAGGGAAGAGCTCGGCTTCAGAGAGGGAAGCGCTGGGTCCTTACTTGGCCCAAAGAAGGCAAGAAACAAAGGTGCCCAGGAATAAATGGCCACCACAAAGGTCGTAGAGTTGTAGCCTCAGCTCTGCCCTGGGAGTGGAGGGGCACTGATTCCCGGAGGAGGAAACTCAATTCTAAAACCCATTATTTAAATGTCAGGCAGGGGAAAGGCGTTGTAACTGAATTTGGTTTGCACTGAGCGGTGGGAGTGACTCTGAACCCCCCCTGAGAGTACAGTGTGGCTGGCAGGCAGGGTGGCTGCCCCCTCGCCGCTTGCCCAGCACGGTTCTCACCCTGACCCATCACTCATGGGCCTCGGGCCTCCTGCCAGCTGGTGCCATACCCAGGGCCACCCGGAGACTGGAGGGAGATGCCCCGGGCAGGAGGACTCACAGGTTCCTGGGTCCAAGCCCCGGACCTGGTGGGGACCTGCAGGTGGCACGCCCCAGGGTAGTCAGCCCCCAGGCAGGACCCACGCCTCTGTTTCTCTCCACAGGTGAGCGCCGGGCCGCCCTGCTGGTCACCCGCGCGGCCTCGGCCTTCTTCCTAGACGGCCGGGCCCAGGACGTGTTTGGGGACCTGCAGGAGGCCTTCCGCGAGAGCCCCTCTGGGGCGCGGAGGCAGTTCCAGGCCGTGTTCTCCGCCCGGGACCAGGAGCGTGTCCGGGCTCAGGCGCAGGAGGTCGCAGACGCGGGCTTCGCTCGCTTCCAGGAAGCCGTGCGGAACCATCCTGAGTTCCGCGAGAACGCGGGCCGCGAACTGCTGGCCCCGGTAACCCGCGCGCTCCGCGTCCTGCTTCGTCTGGCACCTATCGGGGCGCGACCCGCGCTGGGAGCCCGCCTCGCCGAGTGCCTGCTGCTGGCGGGGGACGCGGCGCGCGCCCGAGCAATGTGCGAGCGCCTGCTGCGGCCCGCGCGCCCTGAGGACCCTGCCGGGGACAGTGCGGGGGACCGAGCGGGGGACCGCGCGCCCCTCCTGGCTCTGCGCGGCTTCTGCGCGCTGCACGCCGGGGACTCGCAGCGCGCCCTGGAGGACTTCCAGGCGGTGGTGGAGCAGGGGGCGCCGCACCCGGGGGGCTGTGTGCGCGCGCTGTGCGGCCGGGGGCTGCTGCGGGTGCTGGCGGGCAGCGCATTCCTGGGCACGCTGGACTATGTCACCGCCTGCAGGCTGCTGCCCGAGGAGGCGCTGCTGGCCGCCAAGGCCTACGTGCCCTGGAACCAGCGGGGGCTGCTGCTGGCCGTGCTGCGGGAGGAGGCCCGTGGGATGCTGCAGCGATCGCCACGCGCCGGGCCGTCGAGAGCGCAGGGCCGGAGGGAGGCCGCGGAGACCGGCGGCCCCGGCACACAGGAGGGGTGAGGACACGCCCGGGCGCGCTGGGGCTGCTGCTTCTCGTGGGTCTCCTTCGAGGTAGCCAGGGATGTGTTTCCTACTATTTTACAAAGGAATGAACGGAGGCAGCGTGGCGGGTAACCTCCCAAAGCACCCGAGGCAGGTCTAGCTCCGCTGCTTCCATAGTAGGGGCGGCAGTCCCGAAATGGAAAGGGGAAATTAAAAGCCGCGGCTCACATTTCCTTCCAGGCCTTTCGTTTCGTGCATATAAAATAGCTCACCAAACCGAGTCTGTGCTGGACATGCGGTTCATTTGCTAATTTTCTTACTCAATAGGTCATGACAATTCCCTTTGTGGCTAAATGTGTTTCGGTCAGCACCGCCCTGACCTGCGCCCCTGCCACTACTCCTTCCAGCAGTCCTGGGTTTCGTTTGTTTTATTTTGTTTTTCTTGTTTGTTTGTTTGTTTGTTTTTTGAGATGGAGTCTCACTCTGCTGTCCAGGCTGGAGTGCAATGGCACGATCTTGGCTCACTGCA